GGGGGGGGGGGGGGGGGGGGGGGGGGGGGGGGGGGGGGGGGGGTGGCATAGGTGCGGGGGATTGCAATCCACGTGCCCTCCTGTGCGTCGTGCGTGCGCACCACGTACCACAGTGAGACGCACAGACAGCAGAAGTAGCGAGCGGTCTGCTGCTGCAGCTGAAACTGGGTGTTCGTAAGGATAGATTCCTCCCATCTACCGGCGGTGCATCTGATGCAGCAAAAAAAAAAAGAGGAGTGACCAGAAACGGGTAACTCGGGTGGATTATCACCGTTTCAGGGTACACTTGGAAACCAACACGACACAAATCTCCGACAGCGTCCGCCGTAGATCGCGGCGAAACGAAGTCTGTGTCCTGTGTCCTGTGCCTCGGAAGCATGGTGCACGAGGCAGGTCGTGCCCGTTTTTGTCTCTCTCTCTCTCTCTCTCTCTCTCTCTATCTCTCTCTCGGTGCTTTTACCGATCAGCACCACACCGAACAAACTCGCGCGTCAAGCGAGTCCGACCCTCTGTGGAGAGGGGCCGGTATCCTTGGAGGCGGTGCCCATCAACGAGCGAGCGTTGTTGGTGGTTTGGGTGTGGATATGCATGTGTGCTACACGGTATGTGCGGTACACGTTTTTTTCTGCGGGTTTTATGGTAGAGCGTCGGGCGCCGGGATTATGTGACCATTTCTGGGAACAAAATCGACCTCTTCCGGGTACACCAGTAACCCGCCCGAGGGTCCTCATGCCAGCGGTAGTTGTACCCGATGGAGATTTCTTCCGAAATGGGTACAGTGGTTTTTCGGCCAATCAGCGACAGTCTGGGGGTGCAAGCGTGTTGATTTCGAAGTGTTCCCTAAAATGGTGATAAAAGTCCCCGGGTGTACCCGTTTCTGGTTATTGGTAAAGATAAAAGTCGTGCATAACCTCGTCGCTCACCGAGGGCGAGGTTATATCTCGCTTGGAGGACGTTCGATCCTTTTTGTACACGAAGGGAAGGGGTGGCGAGTACCGTGAGACGCAGTACCTTCTTTCGAAGACTGTTTATTCGTTTACTCATGAAACTCAACAGAGCCGTAGAGCCAAGCCGCGGGGGNGTGACCATTTCTGGGAACAAAATCGACCTCTTCCGGGTACACCAGTAACCCGCCCGAGGGTCCTCATGCCAGCGGTAGTTGTACCCGATGGAGATTTCTTCCGAAATGGGTACAGTGGTTTTTCGGCCAATCAGCGACAGTCTGGGGGTGCAAGCGTGTTGATTTCGAAGTGTTCCCTAAAATGGTGATAAAAGTCCCCGGGTGTACCCGTTTCTGGTTATTGGTAAAGATAAAAGTCGTGCATAACCTCGTCGCTCACCGAGGGCGAGGTTATATCTCGCTTGGAGGACGTTCGATCCTTTTTGTACACGAAGGGAAGGGGTGGCGAGTACCGTGAGACGCAGTACCTTCTTTCGAAGACTGTTTATTCGTTTACTCATGAAACTCAACAGAGCCGTAGAGCCAAGCCGCGGGGGGAGGTTCAGGGAACTCTCCGCGATATGTGGGAGGCAAAAAAGCCGTCAGGGTAGCTTGTCTTCGCCGGGACAGTTTTTTATACTGACTGGTGTTACTCGGTGCGACCCTGAAATACGCTCGTTTTTATTTTGTTTACAAGAATGAGATATGTACATGTCTCCTTGGACTTTCCTCCTTCTTCCGCCGCCGGCTATGCAGTACATCAGTCGGCCAAGTACAAACTTGTACCGCTGTAGTTGTTTTCAACACGTCCCCGACTGCTCTGCTGTACTCTCATTTCAAGCACTGTAAATATGTTCGACGTTAACAAGCGGTTTCCAGTCGTCTCAGCGATGCTGACTTTTCGTACCACCCCCTTCCTTGAGCAAAAGACGCGTAGTTTGAGGTGTAGCATGCGTCCATTGGCCCCGGGGATGGTGAGCTATCGTCCCTTGGATTTTAAGGACGCAACCCCGCTATAAGGACGCTTTTTTTTCGGGAAAAACCATGTGCGTCCTTAAAGCGGGGTCGACTGTATTTGCAACACATGGATCACAGCCACACTGCAATGATTGTGTGCATACGATGCTCTCTAGACTAGAGACTGCTACAGTTCTTCACCTCCCCCCTCGTTTGTTCTCAGTGAAGCGGTGAAGTCTGATGCGTTGCCTCTGCTTGGCGGCTACCTTAGTCTTCATTACAACAGCAATCGGAGGCCGCAACAAGTAATAATAAGCGATCATCTTCAATTTTGGGACGCGACCTCAGTGTTCATATGAACATCTTAGTCGCCACGCCCTCGTCAAGCAAGGCTCATCATGTTAGTTGTCAGTAAATAGCAGATGTCCAGGTTCTAGCGAAAATTTGGTTGTAGACCATCTCTTCGCATCAAGAAATGCTTGATTTGGCCCCCCAACGGAACATGAAGTATGCATGCAACTTATACACACGTACAAAAAATGACCCGTGAGCAATTGCCCGTGAGTGATGTTTCATGTTGGTTCAACAGCAGCAGTAGCACCAGAACGGTTCGTGTGGAAGGCCGTAACTGCTGCTGCTTGTAACCGAGAATTATCATGCTCGCTGCGTGTGTTTCGCTCTGCATTGTCTTCACACAAAAGGGCTCAGAGAAGGCTACTGTTAGCTGTTGCTGCTGATGTCGCTTCTTCTAGAAACAGGCTGTTAGGACCCACGTTCTTTTTCGTAACTTAGACCAAGGATCACTCTGCATGTTTGGTTCCTCGGAGATCTTCGATCCCTACGGTGGTACAGCGGTCGATACAGTCGACCCCGCTTTAAAGACACCCCGCGTTTTTTTTTTGGAGTGTCTTTAACGCGGGGAAGTGTCTTTAGGATTCCGGGGCCACTAACTCACCGTCCCCGGGGTCAATGGAGGTGTAACATGTGTCAAAATACGCGCATTTGAAGCAGGAATGCGACCACGAAATTGTGCTGCTTAAAAACTGCGACA